TGGATCTTTGTCTAGGGGCTACTCTTTGGAAAGTCAGGAACCGAGCCTATGTTGATTTCTGGAGTCCTCTTGGGGGGGGTGTATTATTATTTAGAGGAAGTCTAAGCAAGGAGGTGGTATGCTTTTCTGTTCAGACACCTGTGCTTGCAGGGGGGGGGGGGGGGGGGACGGGGTGGTGAAGGTAGAGAGGACCGAGGACAGCCAGGGGGTGTGAGGGAAGGATTAGTCAGATGGACGTGGAATCTTTGTTGGGCAGAGAGGATACTGAGGCCACAGGGCTGGGATGTGAGAGGCAGAGGCAGGGAGAGTGAAGCAGAGAGCCCTGGTGGACTGGGGGTGGGGGCAGGAGGGGGCTGTCCTCCCACGGCGGGATGACTGGGGACAAGGTCCTGCTGAGGGAGGGTAAAGGCTATGACCTTCAGGAAGAGATCAAGTACCAAAACGGGCAGGACAGGAGTGAGGTGTAATGAAGTCACTAGAGGCTGCCATCACCACGGGGTGCAGGGGTGGGCGTGAGGTGACAGTGAGCGCCCTTGTGAGGAACGGTGGCTCCTGTAGGCACAGGATCTGCGTGTAGGGTACACCGCAGGAGCTGGGAGAATGGAGGCTCTTACTGGTGTCTCAGTGGCCAGAGAACAATTGTGTGACTCTCATCACAGGACAGCACCTAAAACCACCCAAGTGTGGGACGTCTGAAGGGTAGGACTTTTGAGGCCCTGGTTCTAGCAGTCCTGTGCCTGCAGGGCCTTCCCACTGTTGTCTGTCCACGAGATCCAGACACTGGGAATGTATTTTTGCACCGGTAGGTGTCCCAGGGCAGACTTGTCGAGATCAGAGGGCTGGACAGAGACAGGCCAGGCACTAGAGCAGATGGGCGGGACAAGGACAGAAGGCCGGGGCCCTTCCTGGGGTCAGAGGCAGCCTTGAGGAAAGATGGCTCTGTCTTTGGAGCTTCCTTAGCCCCTAGCTGTGTGACGGGTGAGGGCTACCACAACGACCCTTGCCTTATGGGACTGGGATGCATTAGCAGCTCAGGACATGAGGAACATGAGGTATTCAAGCTTGATTTTAGTCAGGGGCGCTGTGTTTAGCTTCCTGCTGCTGTGATGAATCCCAGAGAGAAGCAATTCGAGAGAGGAAAGATTTGCATGGGCTCCTCGTGTCAGGGGTTCCCGTCTCTTTATGGTGGAGAAGGCATGGAGGAGCTGCTTGCCTTGTATTGATCAGGGAGTGGGGGAGAGATGGAGCAATCATCCTCATGCTGTCCTTCCTCTTTTTATTCCATCCAGGACCTATGGGGGGTCCCACATTAGAACCTCTGCCAGGGCGGACCTTCCCCCATCTAGTTAGTCTCTGGAAACACCCTCACAGACACAGTCAGATCGGGCTGGAATAATCTCCCAGGTATCAGTCAATCAATCAAGTAGACAAGCAAGATTAACCCGTCCTGGGCAACACATCTGTGTCTGTTGCCTTTGATGCCGGCTGTGAGCAACCTGCGTTGCTTTAGAAGTGTTGGGTTCAAATCTTCATTCTGTCCTTTGCTGTCGGTGTGAGCCGGAGCAGCACGTCACCTCTCTCTGTCTCAGTTTCTCATCTATCACAAGACAGTACAGTGCCCACTTTTCAGCCGGGACACTCCGGAGACATCTGTGAGAGGAGCTGATGACAATGACGGTGGATGAAGTTTCATGTTTTAGTAAACTTCCACACGGGACACCGTGTCGTGTCCTCAGTGGAAAAGCTTTTTGATGGGCGCTGTTCTGCTCTCCCCTTCTACTCAGGTACACCTTTTGGGAGTTCATTCCTCACTCACTCACTCACTCACTCACTCACTCACTCACTCACTCACTCACTCACTCTGCAGGTCTTGTCTCTTCCCTGTTACATGCCGGGTGAGGATAAGAGGAGGGGCTGGGGGGAGGTGAGTCAGTCCTTCCTCGCATCCATTTACCTCTTTGTGACACTGTTTAAGCCCAGTGTCTTGGGAGAGTTAGGCAAGCCACAGCCCCCAACCCCTTCCATGCATTTCTGTGCTCATCTTGGGTGAGCTCTAGCTGCTGTCCCATGAGGCCTCATCAGGCACAGCCTGCAGGAATGGCCTTCTAGAGAGCGAGGCCACACCACGCAGTGTTGGCGGAGTGGGCAGTGCCTACACTCAGTAGATACTTGTCAACAGCACTGAGGTGGGTGCCGCCTAGGAAATCCCCGGAAGCCATGTTACCTAGCTGGTGCCCACCTCCACCCTCACCCCAGAGGCCTTCACACCTGGTCAGACTATTGTTGAGACCACTGGCTGTCTGGGTAGCGGCCACACTCAGAGTTTTAGCTTGCTTTGGGCCCAGGAATTTTTGACACGGCAGCGTGTTGCATCACTGCTGGTCACGTGACAGTTGTGTTGCCTGCCACAGCCCCTTCATCTGTGACCATGCCTGGTCTGATATTGGACACTGGAGACCACTGTCTTCGCCACCTACAGCCTGCCCCACCCCACTAATTGAGGACCCCTGGCTGTGACAGGAATGTTCCCTGGAGCTGGAGCAGGCCAGGGGAGCTCCAGGGCCAAGGTAGTGCACAAAGGGGCCCTAGGCAAGGATCCTGTTGGCCATGGTTCAGGAGAAGAAGGTAGCGAGGGGCAGCTTCTACTCCCCACTGGTATAAATCCCACAATCAGAAAAGCCGCCTCAGTGGCTGAAAAATGCTGGTGGGCAAGTCCATTTATTTTTCATTTTCCTTGTGCTCTTGCACCGTCGAGCATGAATCACTGTCGGGATGAGATTAAATTTATCCCCCCCCCCCATCATCTTTCCCGTCTCCGTGGCTCTGGTGTCACTTGGGTTTTCTGGCTACTGAAAGCCCATCGGCTTTCTGGAGGCCGGGAGAAGCGGCTTTTGTGTGGGACAGGCTGCTGCAGCGTCAGGCTCTGCTCCGGTGTCTCCTCAGCTTTCTCCTCCTGGGTAGGATTGGCATTAGGGAGATCTTCCTGGAGATGCTGCCCCAGCGTCTTCAGCAGCAGGCGTGGACGAACCCTCCCTTCCGGAGCCTCCCGGAAGGGTTTGTAGTGAGCACAGGTGAGGTGTTGTTCATTGGTGAGGTGTGGATGGGGGTGGCTGGGGAAAGTGAAGAACTGTCGAGGACACTTTGGAGTGCTGGGGATACAGGATACAGGTTCTGTCTGTTGCCCTGTCCCACTCCCATGCACACAGAGACACACAGGCACATGCACGCAGAGGACAGAGCTGTCCTGCCTTTCTGTTTAAACCAGGAGCAGCTGCAGCTTCCCTGCCTGTGGAGGAAGCCTGCGCATCACCCATGCTCTGGGCAGTTGGGGCGGGTGCAGACCTGGCGCTACGCTGTCCACACTCACGTTACGCCTTCTGGGACCATCCTCTAATTACGTTATTCAGCAAATAGAAACTGCTCTTCCAGGTTCTACAGCCCTATGAAGAATCTGACAAAAGCCCAGGTCCCTTTGAGGCAGGATTTTAACCAATTTGGGGAGCCTCGTAGGGCCCCAGACTCCTGCTCTGAGAGGCAAGCTTTCTCTGGAGGGACATCTCAGTCTCTCAGACCCAATCCTTTTCTCGAGTAGCCTCAGGAGAGCAGCCTCCCTACCACACCACGGCTGCTGGGGAACTACCCCTGATGTGGAGATCCCAGCTTGTCTCCAGGATGCCATGTCCCCAGAGGGGGTGGGGTGGAAGCTACAGCCATTTGGACAGGCCTGTTGCAGGCCCGTGCAGCCCCCTCAGCAGGTATCACTGCTGCATAAGAGACCCATCATTCTGCATTAATCTGGGATTCATCATGATAGCCATGACCATAATTAATTTATTTGGTATTAATGTGGATGAAATATGTACTGTCCTTTCAGGGGAAATCAGGCTGCCTATAAGCATTAGTTAAAAGGACCATTAAAATCAAACCTTCCCCAGATCCATTAGGCAAAGTCTCTCATCCTGAAGAAGATAAAGTTCTGCTGTGTGAAGTGTCATGAATAATTAGGTTGATTGCTGTTTTAAACTCTGCCCCAGCTTCGCAGCCCCTCCTGCCTCCCTCCCACTTCCCTTCCAGACCCGGGAAAGAATTACCTGTGGCCAACCACCCCCTAGGCTGCCTTGACTCTAGTATTTCTCTCTGGCTTCCGTGGTCACTGCTAGGACTCTGTGTGTGTGTCCATGTCTCGGGCAGGTAGATGGGCTTCAGGGATTCCATTGGACGATGCTGCCAATGTATCAATTTCTTCTCCCTTGCTAGCCCTGGTAAAGGGTGGCAGCAGCGGTGTCCTCCTGCCTTCCTGCCAGTCCAGAAAGGGGTAGAGCAGGCTTTGGAAGGAGGCTCTTCCTAAGTGAGGTCTGCAGCTTCCTTACTGGAGAATAGTAAGGGTTTGACAGCACGGCTTCCTGGTCCTGCCTGAGACCATGACATCCCAGGGATGTGTGGGAAGGGTTGGGCTTTTCTGTGTGCTCAGAACTGTGTGCGTGCATGCGTGCGTGCCTGCGTGTGTGTACAGGAGAGCCCCACTCTTCGGACAGTGTTTTCCCCCGTGTGCCCGCGGACACAGCCACGCGCTGCCCCCCAGCTACTCACACGGGGCTCCCCCATGGGAAACCTTGCTGAAGGCTGTGTGTGCTAGACTGAGTGGTCCGCAGTGCCCATGGGCCCTTCCTGGGCTGGTCTTTTAGGGAGCATCACAAAGATGAGGAGAGCGGCAGGTGGAAGGGTAACCTCCTGCTCCCTACCGCTGCCTCCGTGCAGTGGGGGGGGGTCCCCTTGGGTCCCTGGCCCGTCAGCCCTGGGAAGGGAAGTGAGGACCCTGATCCGACCCCTTCGTTTGCTGTGTTAGCACCCGGGACACAAAGCAAGGGCGCTAGTAGGAGGTCCTGTGAGCTTTGGCGGTCTGTGGGCCCTGGAGTGGTGGGGCAGGAGAGGGCCGATAAATGGTTGAGGCCCCAACCCCGACCCCCTGGGTTTCACTTCCTCTGCTGCTGCCCTGACAGGCGCTTTGGCACAAAATGCACAGCCTGCCAGCAGGGGATCCCCCCGACCCAGGTGGTCCGCAAGGCCCAGGACTTCGTCTACCACCTGCACTGTTTTGCCTGCATCATCTGCAGCCGGCAGCTGGCCACGGGCGATGAGTTCTACCTGATGGAGGACGGGCGGCTAGTGTGCAAGGAGGACTACGAGACCGCCAAGCAGAACGGTAAGCAGCTTCACAGGCTGAGGTGCCCATCTCTCTGGGTCCCCCCTGAGTGCCCAGCGCTCAAGGCCCGGCCTCGTCTGAGGATTGTAGCCAGAGTTCCACAGTGAGAGTCAGCTCTGAGCACCCCGACCCCTCAGATCTTGCTGGCTTGGTGGAGCACTGACAAAGCTGTGGTTATTGGCCCTTGTGAGGTAGTGAACTCGGCACTCTCCTTGCCTGGCTTGCCTGGAGCATGCCTGGGGAGCTGAGGGGTGGCTGGGACCTTGGTTGACAGGGGTGGCAGGTGGGGTTGGGTAATTGGGGTATACACTTTCTTCATCATCTCACGCCTCACAGGATGCGAATCAGCCAGAGCCACGGGGCTTGCGGGGTTGGCCTGTCTTCAGTTGTCTCCTGTCTCTCAGACTGTGGGCTCAGGGGTGCCGGTTCTTGGGTGCCTGAAGGCCTGAAGCTGGCGAGAGTGTGTTAATCAGTCAGTCAGAGCAGTGACTGGGAGGAGCCATGTTTAGGGAGACTCAGCAGTATGATTGCTTCGACCTCACCTTGAGGACCACAGTCCACACTGCAGTGGAAACTCACAGCTCAGTGCAGCCCTCAATATCTCCCAGCTACCCCTGGGAACCTGGCCTCAGCTGGGCAGCCTGAGAAGCTGCTGTGCTTGCCCTCCTCGTCACAGCCTCAGAGGCTTTCTGTCTGAATAGGGCTCAGACCTGTGCATTCCCTGTACGACCCCCAGGAAGGCCAGTTCTGACTCTCACTTTCCTGAAGCACATCCCGCTCTTGGTTTCTGAGTCACAGCTCTGCCAGTAGGGTGAGGGTATCAAGTCCTGCATCTGAGTCCAGAATTGACCAAACCCAATCTAGGATTCTCCCCACCCCCATCCTCAGACAGGGTTTCTCTGTGTAGCCCTGGCTGTCCTGGAACTCGCGCTGTAGACCAAGCTGGCCTCGAACTCACAGAGATCCGCCTGCTTCTGCCTCTCTGAGTGCTCAATCTAGGGAATCTAAAATGGGATCTCGGTAGACCCCATTCAAACCTCTGCCTTGATACACTCATTCATTCTGGAGCAGTGGTTCTCAGCCTTCCTAATGGTGACCCCAACCATAACATTATTTTTTGTTGCTACTTCATAACTGTAATTTTGCTACAGTTATGAATCATAAACTAATTATCTGTGTTTTCTGATGGCCTTAGGTGACCCCTGTGAAAGGGTCATTCAACCCCAAGGGGTCCCGGCCAACAGGCTAAGAACCATTGCTCTAGTCCCTTAACACTGCATGCTGTTCCTTTGGCGTTCAGCAGGATGTCACAAAAGGGTGTCAACACAGACACGCTCAGGAACACCAACACAATTTAGAACTCTGATGGCTTTTACCGGATCTTCTTGTCAAAGACTTCACGTTGACCTTGAGCGTTCTCAGCCCAGAATCTCCTGGTGCTGTGGGTGGTTCCAGAAAGGAGGTAGACTGGCAGGCGTGACACAGGAGAGGCAAGAATTCCCTTGTACAGCTTGCCACCGTATGGAAGGAGTTTGTCCTCCTGCAGCCGGCTTGTAGGACAGTGGGAAGCACAGGTCTTCGCATCCAAGGCTGGGGGGTGGGGGCAGGGCAGTTTACAGATTTGGAGCTTCTCTGGCCAGCTGTGTCACTGGCTGAGTCTCAGCCTTGCCACAGCAGCTAACGAGAACAATGCTTGTAAAAGGGAATAATACTAAATGAGAGCAAGTCCTGGCAGAGAGAAACTGAGGTGTGCTAAAGGCAGCAGGAGGCCCGTGTGCTTGTCAGAGAGGGGAGGGCCCTCCCGCCTGCGCACGGATCCTTGACACGGCAGGGGACATTTGTCTGCTGTACTGCGTTTGGCCGTTTTTTTTTAGTTTTCCTTCCTTCTTGTTTCTCTAAACCTTCTTCCTGGCTCATAATTCCCTCCCTTGAGCTAAACAAAGGGTCTAATAACAGCGATTTGCACCTTTAGTGGAAATTATTTTGTTCATTCATCTCACCTCCTTCGATACTTGCATTTTCAATGTAACGATGCTGCATTTTTTTTTTTTTTTTTTTTTTTTTTTTTTTTTGCCAGGGCCAAGTTTTAGGAGGCACTGCATAATTCAAAATGAACATATGTAAAGGCTAATTTTCCATGGGAATTAATGGTGTAAGTGTGTGTTACGGGGGTATATTCTGCAGCCACACCAATCCATAACCAAAGCGCGCTTCCCCTTAATGCTACTTTTTATTTTCTCAGCATTATCTCCAGTACCTTGCTGAACGCTCTCTCCTAAATTAACAGCCCAGGGTGTCATGGTCCTGCTTGGCCTTCCTCATAGTGTTTTTATCACATTTAACTTCCGCACCAAAGTTATTGATTTTTGGGTACATTTTTCAGCCCGAGCACTACCACCACCTACTTAATGAATACTTGGATGACATTGTTATAGGATATAAAAAAGATTTTAAATTATAATAACAGTGAATGTTAAAATAACAGCATAATAGTTCCCATAATCACATGAAGAAAGGCTTGAGCACCTGAGCAATGGTGTTGCACCAACCAGCCACCCACAGTGGTGACAGGGCACCGCCATGGGCTGGGAGGAAGGGATCTCTAATCTACTTAGCCAACCTGTTCTGAAATCAAGTGACTCTCAGGAACTGGGTCCCCTCCCCTGCGCCCACACACCCTGACAACAAAGCCTCCCCACACACTCTGACACACACACGCACGTGCGCGCACACACACAGGCACACACACACACACACATACACATACACACACACACACACACACACACATACACACACACACAGGCACGCACACACACTGTTTCTTTTCAATGAGGAATTCTCGCTGTGTTGTCCAGGCTGGCCTCAGCTCTTGGGCTCAAGTGATTCTCCTGCCTCAGCCCCTAGAGGAGCTGGGACCATATAGGCTCGTTTCATTACTTGGGACTTTGTGCGTGAAGGCTAGCCACATGTTTTGAAAGCACATCCCATGTTTGTATAACTTAGATTTGCCTCCGTGTTATGTTGTGAGCTCTATCAATGTGGCAGGAAGGGCTGAGGCCTCACTACAGCATTTAAAGTGAAGCATCCCGGGCCTTTCCTAAGCAGCGATGTGCTCAGGGCCCCTGCCCCTTGTTGGTCCAGTTGGCTGAGAGCAGCTGAGATGACAGTGGCTCTGAGGCCTTCACCCTTCCCTCTGGGTAACTGCTGAATTGCTAGAGCACGGAACCCACATGGGGAGGTGGCATTGCTCCCAGCTTCAGACCTGAGAGTGCTCACCAGCTCTCTGTGTTGACCCCCGGCCTCTCCTAGAGCCAGGGACTGCCTGTAAGGCTAACAGCAAACCCGTACACAGTAGGTGCTTAATGACTGTTGGCCGCTACTGTTGTTCCAGGAGGGCTTTTTAAAGGGAAAGGAAGGGGAAAGGGAGGAAGGGAGGCAAGGACAGGTGTGAGGACTGACGGAAGTTGGGGCCACTTTATTTCTTGCCCACTTCACTCTTGGCTTTCCCCAAGGGATGCTGGGCAGAGCCGAGTCTATGCGGGAGACCCACAATGCACCTCGTTTGTGAATCACTGAACAGGCAGGATGTCATTCTGTACCCAAACGTAACAACCGAGCATTCACGAGAACCTGAGGCTGACTGCTCAAAGCCCACTGAAGACTTTCGCTGACCAGTGTGTCACCCCACACGCCCTTAACCGGCCCTTTACACACAATTTGACTGTGACCCACAGCATGAAACTCATTTTACCTTTCAACTAGGTGTTCATCGAGGCTGTGAAAGCTAGGGTGTTTCACAGAACAGTGTGTACTTCATTCTATAGGACCTGTGGGTTTTGAGCATTAAGTTGATGGCATAACTCCAGGGGTGTGTGTGTGTGGGGGGTCTGACGCCACAGTTTATGAACATACCGATGACCAGTGAGGCGCGGGCTCCCCCCAGTTGTGAGTTGTAGGCTGGTAGAGGCAACAAGGCCTAGGGTGGGCCACCAGAACAGGAGGCTCTGGAGAGGTGGCGGTGCAGGCTGCCTGAGGCCGCTCAGGACAGACTACATTTTGGCTGTTTCCTCTGACAGCCCGAGAGGGTGTCTAAACAGAGCCCATGACAGGGGAGTGAGGGGAATTACCCGTGCTCTGTTTGTGACAGGCCTCAGTGTGGCGAAACTGACCGCGGAGGGAGAGGATGGAGCTGAGGGGAGAAGGGAAGATGGCTCTCAGGGAAGGCTGCTCACCAGTGCCAGTGTGTCTGCGTGAGGAGCACTTCTCCGAGACTCTGCCTGTTCTTCCCCTGAGCTTGTGTGGGGGAAGGAAGGTAGACAGAGGAGGCCCAGCGGCTTCAGCTCAGCTCATTCCAGGAAGGTGGTTTTCCTTGCAGATGACTCGGAGACTGGGGCGAAGCGGCCACGGACCACCATCACAGCGAAGCAGCTGGAGACACTAAAGAACGCTTATAAGAACTCCCCGAAGCCTGCCCGGCATGTGAGGGAGCAACTCTCCTCCGAGACGGGCCTGGACATGAGGGTGGTACAGGTGAGAGCCTGCACTGCTTTGCCCCTGAGTGATGCGAGCCTGGGGCAGGTCTATGTCCTCCACCTGAGGGATGCTAGAGAACATGAGTGACATTATCTGGGGAGTGGTGGCGCTCAAGCTGTAGGGAGCTGAGTTCAAGCCTCACCACCCTGGGACGAGAGGCTCAGGCTGAGGAGACAGTGGGCACCCTCCACTTTGTTCAGGTGTACACCAAAATTTTGGTCCATTTCTGTCCATCTGCCTTGAGGGTCCAGGGCCTTTTGGTGCCTCCTGAGTGTCATTCTTGAGGGGAGGGGCCTGGGGTCTTTAGGTAGCTCCTAAACGTGTTGCCTGTGCTTTGTGGCAGGTTTGGTTTCAGAACAGAAGGGCCAAGGAGAAACGGCTGAAGAAGGACGCGGGGCGGCATCGCTGGGGGCAGTTCTACAAGAGTGTCAAGAGGAGCCGCGGAGGCAGCAAGCAGGAGAAGGAGAGCTCGGCAGAGGACTGTGGGGTTAGTGACAGTGAGCTGAGCTTCCGAGGTGAGCAGGGCTGGACGGGTGAGGCTGAGGCCCTGGGCGAGGCCCTGGGGGACAGTAATTCTTGCCAGCAGGGGGGAACGTTCTGATGATGCCCTCCTGGGCACAGGGTTTCCCTTGACCTTCAGTGAAGGGTGGGAAGGGTGTTTGTAGCCCTTCCAGAAGGGGTGAGGAGCAGAGAGGAAGAGAACACTGTTGCTGAGATAGGGAGGCTGGGGTCCCTGGGACCCAGCCTAGCCCTGTCCTGGCCCAGAGGCCTACTTTCCTGCTGCCAGAGGTACCCTCACCAGTCCACACAGTTGTGAACACACAGCTGCGTCTCAGTCTTTGCCCCAGCCCTCCTGCACTTCTCCCCTTTGCAGGGACACTGAGCTCCTCCCACGGTCCCCTAGAGTAAGCCGGTCCTCCAATCCTGGTGGCAGGAGGACATGCTCAACAGGCCTTTTCCTGGGAAATCAATAATGTGAGTGCATGATGGGGAGCTGGCTGCGGTTCCGAAACCCCTCCCCCACCACTCACTCCATCCTGTCCTCCGCACACAAGCTTTGCGGCATGCGCTAAACTCAAATCTGTGCATCAGCAAAATTGCAAATTACCGCATGAGTGGATCCTCAGGTTGTTTGCAAATAGCCATGACTGTTCTTTCACTGAGACCTCAAATGCAGAAGATCTTTTTTGGGGCATGGGGTGGGAAGGGAAGAGTCCTGAACTGAGGCTTAGAAGATTGCTAACTGTAGCTGTCGAAGTCATCCTTTTTTTTTTTTTTTTTTTTTTTTTTTTTCTGAGCCTCAGTCTATACCTGGGGAATGTCACATCCTTACCCATCTCACAGAGTTGTCATGGGCGTTAGTGGACACAGCCAGCTTGGGAAAAGCTAAGCACACCTGTGTATATGAAGATAAATGGATGGCATGGTTGTTCCCATAGGAGCCTATCGTAGGGAAGGCAGGGTCCAGGTGAAGGGCTAAAGCTCAGGCATTTTATGGTGGAGATATCTAATCTTTTCCTTCCTGCTCTCCTTGAATGACATGCTCCCTCTTTTTTATGTTCCTGAGTGAAATGTGGGGGTCAGAGAGACAGGGTGCTGAAGTCTAGTCACAAGTGGCCTTTTGTAGGAATCACTGTGTAAGCCCAGGTAAAAGTAGAGAAGGAAGACACGGGAACACATTGCTTACCATGAGCAAAAGCCATGACATTTCTGACCTCAACCCAGGGGACTGCTGAGCCCAAACTCTTAGACCACAGTGCTTAGGACCCAAGGAGAGCCAAGGAGATTTGCGTCATTCCCAGGCATCTTGGCAGGATTGGAAAACCTGGCTAATCTCACCTGAGATGCTCAAATCCATCCTTGGAACACACACACGCACCAAATCTTGTGCTCATTTCTCTTGGATGTGAGTGGGTCTCTAGGTATAACATGTTCTCTCTCGGTAGGTAACACACAATCTTGTAATTCTTAAGACTAAACCTGCTCACCCCTATTGGAGAGAGAAATTCTTTCAGCAAATTCCATTAGATCTCCTTAATGAAATTCTTCAAGAAACAAGAAGGTCCATTTGCCTTAATCAAGTCATTCTTCATCCTCAGTAAGTAGGTTACTGAACATAGTAAGAAACTGAGTTCTTGGATGCTGAACTCCATTTTTGGGTGATCAGGGTTTTATGTACAGATGGAAGAGTGGTTCCTGGCCATCTTTATCTTACTGGCCCGTTTCTCAACTAGCCCAGCAAAGCACTTTTCTTGGTTTTAGAGTAAACCCTTCCAACACAGTTTCCACTTGTGATACAATCCACCAAACTCAGGCACTCCCACTCCTCAGTGTCCCCAGGGGATCTCAGAGCTACTGTGGACCAACAAGCCCAGCACACACTTTCCAGCCCATGAGGCCCTGGGATTTAGGTACAGGCATTCCTTGTTTTCCCTTTGGTCTGGGTTGGTCTCTGGATAGTAGGCTGACCTGTTGGTTACTGACCTGTGCTTGGCAGGAAGGCAGCTGCTGCCATGGGCATCCTTCCTGGTGTTTGTATTGCTGGTGGTGAAAAGCAGGGGCCACAGAATCCCGGCCGCTGACAATAAATCTCCCTTCTTTTGTCCACAGAGGATCAAATTCTCTCAGAGCTTGGCCACACCAATAGGATTTATGGCAACGTGGGGGACGTTACAGGCGGACAGTTAATGAATGGGAGCTTCTCCATGGATGGGACAGGACAATCCTATCAGGACTTGAGGGATGGGAGTCCCTATGGAATCCCCCAGTCTCCATCTTCCATATCGTCCTTGCCATCCCATGCTCCTTTGCTCAATGGGCTGGAATACACAGTGGACAATAATCTGGGTATCATTGCTCATGGAGGGCAGGGAGTCAGCCAGACACTGAGAGCCATGGCTGGGGGACCCACCTCTGACCTCTCCACAGGAAGCAGTGTAGGCTACCCTGACTTCCCAACCAGCCCAGCCTCTTGGCTCGATGAAATGGACCATCCTCCTTTTTAGACTTTTCTCCCAACCTCCCCCGTCCTCCTGGCTTGAGAGAGCATCTTCAAGGATCAAAAGAGACTTGCCTCTTACGGATCAAAAGTATGCCAATGTGAAGCTCCATTATTTTCAATGGAAGCCCTCCGCTGGTTCCCAGAAGTCTGAGGCCACACTAGGACACTGCTTTCTTGGGAGGTGACAGGAGAGCAGCCTCATCTCAGCCACAGCACAGGGGTGGGCAGCCTAGAGCTCTAGGGACACTGGCTTGTTGGCTCTCTCTCCTCCCACCCTGCTAAGAGGCTTTGGCTGCTCAGTGCTTTGACAGCACGAGGTGACCCGTGCCCGGCCACTCGGCCTTTCGGAACTCTGCTCCAGCTGGTGCAGCTCACACTTTGCCTCCTAAATCACTCCCCTCACCAGAACCAGGGAGAGGCACCATGGCCCTTGAGAAAAATAAAATGGTGTCTGGACCACCTTGATTACACCCTAATTTTCAAAATAAAGTAAGTTATTAAAGGCTAGTAAAAACATTGATGGCCACAGTTTGATATGAAAAAAAATATAGCCCCGTCCTGTTCTGTCTGTTGCTGTGAAAATGACTCTTTCCCTACCTGACCCAGAGTCAGTCTGGGATTTAAAAAAAAAAAACAAAAAACAAACAACCCATCTATATTGTTGAAGTCCTGATGGCAAGAAATGGCTCCCACTGCAGCTGACGCTGGCTTTTCACCCAGGTCTGCAGAGGCCCTCTGGTGCACAGTGCCTTTTCATTTGCTTAGACCATTTCCTCCCCAAGACAGGCTGAGGGCTACCAAGTGATCAGAGCCACACCATGCAGAAACCAGAATGACAATCAGTGAGAACCTTTGTAGACGAATTCCAGACAGGCCGAGGTCTGGTCAGCCGCCGCCCCAGTGGGTGCTGGTCTTCCCTGGCTTCCTGACAGGGTGGGATGAGATAGGGAGCATTCACTGTACTCTGAGAGAGTTGGTCCTGATGAGCTTGCAAGGCTATTCTCCCTTTAAACAAAAACTTCCTCTTCGGTACTAGCTGATTCAGTTAGAAGACAGTTTTTGTTGCTTTCAGGGACCAGCCACGCATTTATTTATTTATTTGTTTGTTTGTTTGTTTAATTTATTTATTTGGCTTCTCTTGGTTTGGAAGAATAACTGGGCTCTCCGGGTTGCTGGCCAGATTTGTGCCTGCTCCAGGCTCCAGTCCTGCACCCAGAAAGCCCCAGCCCCAATGTGGGGCTCCTCTGCCTGCAGGGTTTGCGGTAGTACTTTACTAAGGTGAAGCAGGGGTGAGGCCAGCCTGGCCCTCAGTCTGTCACAGCGGCTGCACCTCTGCAGGAGACAGCTGTGAGCAGTGGTATGGCCCGCTTCTGGCCATCAGGAAGCGCTCCGTGTTCAAATGGGAGTTTAGCCAGCTGGAATTTCTTCCCAAGCCCTTAGGAAACTGGTTTATTTCTTCTGGCCTCACATTCTTTTAAGCAAGACCTGAGGGGAAGGGAGAGATGAGCAAGCATTGCCTTTCTTTTACATGAAGTGACAAGACCGAAGGCCCAGCAGCCTTTTTTTGGCCCCTGTCAGCTACTCAGCCACATTTTGAGGATTCAGGTATATGGTAGGGAGATGAAAGTAAGAAACACATTTCCTCTTTGGCTGCAAGTCTCTTTCAAGCTAGGTTCAGTCCTTCTTCATTGAAGAAAGAGTCAATTCTCTGATCAGTTCTGTAGTAGTGTTTTGGTGGCCTCTAGCTGGCTTAGCTTTTGTTTGAAGAGTGCCAACATAGACCTCTCTTGAGAGTCCTGTCTGCGGCTGAAGATATTCATTATTCAGTGCTATTGGAATTCCCCAACAATGTGAATGCTGGGTGACGAAGGAGAGACAGATGCAAGGTAACATGCCAGGGGGAGGAAATGGCAGCCAGTGATGTGACAAGCCCCTTCTTGAATACTCCATTCTCAGCAGACTTCCCAGGACACAGGAGCAAAGCCAGGCCAGGCAATCTAGGTGAAAGGCTGCCCAAGGAAGGCCCCTGCCTCAGCGTGGCTATCGGCCCTGCCCCCGTGGGTTTGTGTTTTTAAACATTCTGTGCAGCACCACTGAGGACCGATTGAAGTTGGTTGGTTTTTGCTTTTGTAAATGAGTTAACCATACTCTCAACTCAGTGGTGGGAGGTCAGGAGGCTAGCCTCACTCGTACAAACGCTATGAGTATCTTGAGGAAGTGAGTGCGAGTTGCAGTGGTGTCAGCAGAAGCCTTTTGGGATTCTCCTGGGCCGTTGAGCTGGAGGGACTGTCAGGAGATCCCTGGGTACGAGGCCACCACGAGAGCTTTCTGTATGTTCTTTCTGCTTAGAGCCGGCTCCCTCCAGGGCGGCACACCCTAGTTTCCAGTTAGAAGCACAGCCACTCTAGGGCTCAGATTTAAGTGGCTCTCCCTACAAGTTCTGTTCAAATTACAGCCGGGCTGGTGTCCCAGTGGCCACTGCACACCACGGCTGCTCTTTGCCTTGCCTGTGGCTGCGGATGTAGGCTTAAGATGCCTCCTTATGAGAAGTCCACACTAGGGTACTGGGCACCCTCCGGTAGCCCTTCCCCTCCTTGACTTCAGATCACCAAGCATGCCCTTCCAGAGGCATTTGCAGTATCTGGGCCCAGCTTCGGCTCTAAGAGAACACTCAGTGGACCCCTGTGTTAGACTATGTGCAGTGGACTGCTGAAGCCTGGAGCAAACTTAAAAATTAAGTTAAAAAAAAAAATCCCATTATTTCTAGCGGCAATTGGCATAAGCAAGGATGGAAATGGAGCGACTCTAGGGAGGTCTGTATTTGTGGGAAAACAGTAAGACCATGCAGGAAACATCAAACCCGAGGGCTGTTGGTCAGCTGGCAGAAGCCACCCGTGGAGCTCTGTGAGGCACCTGTCTCTCCCTTTCCCTCCCACCTTGCCCCTTCTGATGGTTACCATGGAAGGTGAACACGGGTGACGGTGTTGAGAAAACTGTTCCCGCAGATTAATACAGTGAAACCACAGGGAAAGAACAAAATTAAGACGCAGGGAAAGCACTGGGCAGTGGCCTGAAAGGTGTCTTGTGCTGTTACAGGACATAAAATCTAGGAAGATAATTGAGCGCTGTTAGCTCTTTATTATTAAGATCAATTTGCAAGAACATGTAAAAAAAAATCTGTGGGGCAGAAAAGCTAGTCCCACGTGTGACCTCCCAGCTGAGGTTCCCAGCCGGGTGTGCGACAGCCCCCATCCCGAACCCCCACGCAGCCCCCACCCGCACCCCTGGACCCACACTTCAGCTCTAACCACGGGAATGACGACCACACCTCCTCAGCCAGCAGGGTCTGGAGGCTCATTTTTTTCTTTTTTTAAACGGTGCACTTTAAAAATTGGAAACGGTGAGATGAAGAAAAATTCAATTAAGCGGAAATGAGTCTTGTTTTATTGCCTGCTGCTGAAGGGCTCTGGGCATGCTGAAAGCTAAATAAAAGCACATCACCGGCTCTCTCTTTCTTGGATTGGTCAAGCGTCCTCCCTTCCCTTCATTCCCCTCCCCTTCCCCCCCCTTTTTTACAGTAGTTTCTCCAACTGCTCTAACAGTGACTGGAGCCAAAAAGAGAGAGCCCAGCAAAGCCATCCCATCCCCACTCTGCTTGGTAGGACCACACTAAAAGCACAGATTCATGCTGCTAGCTCTGGTGAGGAGACAGCTGCAGGTTTGGGAGGGGCGCCGAGCGTTCTCCCGCCTAGCGAGGCAGAGCACAGGCACAGGGCGAGGCCGCCTCCACTCCCACCTGTCGCCAGCTACAGGCAGGGACGACGAGGGAGTTTCCGGCGTGAGGATAGTGTTGGCCCAACCAGCAGGTCCAGGGCCGCAGGATGCTGCTCTGAGCTCACACTTAACACCTCAAAGCCCCACATCTCCTAGGTTTGGATTGTTGCCCCTCTCCTTCACGGTATAGATTTTTGTGCAGTTAAAAAGAAATGAAGTTGCATTTCCTGGAAAAAGAAAAAGAAAAAAAAAAGCCCCTCCCCCCCTTATTTGTTGCCATGTGACTCTGGAGAGCAGAGCTGGTGCATTTGTTTGTATATGCCTCCTGTGTGCTGGCATGAAGACGTGTACGGTAAAACTGTAAAATAAAGATGGAAATTCTTTAGAAGCTGACTGTCTTGCTTTTTATTTGGTCCTCCGGAGACTCTCTCTCGACATAGGCAGCCTAACAAGCTGAGCTGAATCAGGAACCTGTCATCACAAGGAAACCAAAACCACAACTCTGAATTCAAAAATCACTTGCAGCTGTGAAATATCATGAAATGCCAGGCTGGCCAGCCAGCAAGCCCCAGTGACCCTCCTGTCTGCAAGCCTGCCCTAGCCAGCTTTGCAAAGGACAGTGGGGAGCCAAACTCAGGCCCTCTCCTAGGAGCTCACCGAGCCACTGCCCCAGTCCCCTTTGGGTTTTCAAATAGCAATTTCTTGGGGCACAATTCTCTGCCCCTAGATTTTAGAAACCGGAAGACAACAAAACGAAACATCCATTGACCACATAATTAGTAATTACAAACTAATGTTTGTCCTATGTTTTTATAGTCTTTCACACTTGTACTTTCTCCTTTATATAGTACCTGCAGATGTCTATATTTGGGTCAAAAAAGACAGGAGGGAAGAGACCCTCATCAGAGTGATCAGAGCTCTTAGACAAGTGTTCTCTAGGGAAATTTACATATAAGCTATTTTTTTTTTCCCTCTGCAGGGGACACGTTATTGTGAAGAGAGCAATAGATCTTCTTATTAAGCAAAATAACACAACAACAATAAAACCCCAAAACCTGAGAGGTTGGAGAGATGGCTCAGCAGTTAAGAGTGCTTGCTGCTCTTGGAGAATTGCAAACAGGTTTAACTCCAGCTTCTGGGTATCTGATACCCTCTTCTGAACTATGTATGTACCAGCACTCATGTGTACGTATCTACACACACATAATTAAAAACAATACAATAATATTT